CAGGGTGGATCACAATGTCACCACACATTCTGAGCACAAGTTCAAGAAGCAATAGTTTAAGTTCACAATTATGAGCAAAGCTAGTGGTAGTCACAACGGGCAAGTGAGGAGGAGGAGAGAGAGTGAGAGGAGAGGAGATAGGAGGCGACGGCTGAAGCTGCAGACACACAGGCAACAGGAGGCAGACTGGCACAGCGGCTACCGGACGAAGTCCCCGGAATACAGGAGTAACAGGCCCCGCGGCTAAAGTAGCGGCAGACGAGCAACGGACCCACGGGCGGCTGGCACAGCTGGCTACGACTGGGCTACCGGACGAAGTCCCCGGAATACAGGTGCTGCTGGCGACACGACGGCAACCTCCATTCAGCTTCCCCAAACTATCCCACTCCCCCCTGGCACATACCCGCTGCTACACCGCTAGCTCCACTCCCCCTTCACCCCCCCTTAGTACCACTCCACCGGCTCCAACACGTCCACCCCCCCTCAGCGGCAGCTGCAGCACAGGGAGACGGAGGAGGAGGAGGAGCAGGGAACAGTACACAGTGGGTGCACCCCCATACCCCGCACCCCCAAACCCTAATACAGGAGAATGGGGAGTAGGAGGGGTGGGGCACGAGTAGAAGCGCTGGGGGACAGTAGGGAGGGCAGGGGCAGCAAGGAGCGGGCCCACCACGGGCCTGGTAGGGTCGCCCGAACCGCGCGTAGGCGGCCTGAGCCGCGCGCGGGCCTGGCGCCGCCCGTACGGGCCGCGCGCGGGCCTGGCGCAGCCCGTACGGGTGGCGCGCGGGCCTGGCGCAGCCCGTACGGGTCGCACGCGGGCCTGGCGCAGCCCGTACGGGTCGCGCGCTGGCCTGGCGCAGCCCGTACGGGTCGCGCGCTGCCTGTACGGGCCGCGCGCAGGCCACGACGGGCGACGGGGGGCGACGAACGGGTCCCCGTCGCCCGTCGCGGCGCCTCCCGAGGGCGACGCGACGGTTGACGGGGCCGCCGAAGCCCGCCGCGCGCCTCGGGGCGCACAGCGGGCAGAGAACCGCCGCGCGCCTCGGGGCGCACGGCGGGCAGAAAACCGCCGCGCGCCTCGGGGCGCACGGCGGGAAGAAAACCGCCGCGCGCCTCGGGGCGCACGGCGGGAAGAAAACTGCCACACGCCACGGGGCGTGCGCCACCGAGTGTAGTGGTAGGAGTTGCAGCGGAAGCTAGGAGGTGGTAAGCCCACCCACAGGATCGATCCAAGGGGATCGACCTGCTCTGATAGCATGTTAAAGTTTAGAAGAAAGAAGAGGGTTGCACTAGCAAGAATGAGGATACAAATAGCAAACCCTAGAAGGGTTGTACTCGCTATAGAGCACCCCACTACAGGCTAGAGCATAAGATAACATTCTGACAGCAAAACCCTCCGTCTTTTTTCGACGTGAACAGTATCGGTGCGGCGAATGGTGACGAACTTGGTCGGATGAATTTCTTCTCTAACAGGTAATCTAACTGCTTCCTCAGTTCGTCGAGCTCGGAATGTGTCAGTCTGAACTGGCACTGTACAGTTGGCTGTGACCCCCGATTCTAATTCTATTCGGTGGTCATGTGCTCGCTGAGGTGGCAGTCCCTCCGGTAAATCGTCAGGAAAAATCCCCGGGTATCGTTTCAACAGTTCCTGTAGTTCGGGCGGTACCGATGCCAGCAGTTTCTTGAAATCACTCGGTTGCTCTGCTTCTTCTACCACTGCAATGTCTACTGCGTACATGTCAGCTCCAGCGGGGACAGCCCGTTTCATGGTGATGGCGTTGACGTGTACCGTTGAAGACTCAGGCGACTGCCAGCGAGGTAGTTCGACCCAGTTACCGCTACTTCGCACAGTGCAGCTACCCGTCGTCCAGTCAATTCGCGGGTTATACCGTCGCAGGTGCCCATCCAGTGTCGTCGCGAGCATTTCCTGTGTAAACCCAAAATCCTCCCCGCAGCGGACTTTGACTCTCTCCACCTTTTCCCGTATGGCCAGTGGCGTGTCGTCAACTAAGCGTGCATCTATCTCTGGTAAACACCGGCTAAGTGTCACTTGCAGTTTGCGTGCGGTTGCGGTATTAACTAAACTGTGACTTCAACGGTAAGCCACTGTAAGCTGTGGCGGCAGGGGCGACAGAGGCGCCAGAAGTGAGGTCAAACAGTGAGACTCCGTTCTTGAAATCGCGCAGTAAGAACAGCTGTAGGTCGTCGAGCCACGCATCGAACTCTATCGGGCAGCCCTCCGGATCGAACGTGAGGACACTGAGCGTGGCCATAGCGGGCAGAGCAGGGCGACGCAGCGGCGCGGCGCGCGGGCAGGGCAGGGCGCGCGGGCAAACAGGGTGCGCTGCAGCGGGCGGCGCGCGGGCAAAGCAGAGCGCACTGCGACGGGCGGCACGCGGGCAGGGCAGGGCGTGCGCAGGCAGCGCGACGCAGGGCACGGCAGGGCAGGGTGGCGCGATCACGGTGGCCCGACGGGTGGGGTAGCGCTACTCAGTGGGCCCTAAGGAAACGGTCCTAGGCTAGGACCTGCTCTGATACCATGTCAGAATTACGAACAAGAATGAATTGACTAGTAGCAGGATGGGTACAAGTGCTAACCCTAATTGGGTTGTACCCCATATGGGCTACCCCACTACAGCCTACACAATAAGCGGCATACAAGTTTGACATTAACGGCACATTAGCACCATCCCGCGCCTCCCTCGTTTTTCCTGCCCCGTACCCCGCGCGCCACCAGTTTTCCCGTTGCCTCACCCGCCAGTTCCGTCGCATCGCTTCAGTTTCCCCCTCGCGCTTTGCCCGTTCCCCCCCGCGACACCCATCAGTCCCGTCGCGTCACTTTGCCCGCCAGCCCACTAGCGCGCAGCAGATGCACGCGCATAGCTGCACGCGCAGAATTAGCCGCACGCGCAAAATTAGCCGCACGCGCAGCCAAGCGCACCCATTGCCCACTGCCTGACCCGCCGCCTCACCTTCCCCACCCGTCACCCGGTGCCTTAATAGCCGCCCCACCTGAAGCCGCCGCCCCACCTGAAGCCGCCGCCCCACACTGAAACGCGCCTCCCCACAAGCTGTCACACCCGTCGCCAGTAGCACCATTAGCAGCTTACACTGCCGCCAGCGCACTAGCAGCAGCTTAGACTGCCACCAGAGCACCAGCAGCAGCTTACACTGCTGCTAGGGCACTAGCAGCAGCCTAGGCTACTACCAGGAGCACCACAAGCAGCTTAGACTGCCGACAGTAGCACCAGCAGCAGCTTCCACTGTCATCAGCGCACTAGCAGCAGCTTAGACTGCTACCAGCAGCACCAGCAGAGGCTTAGACTGCCGCTAGTAGCACCAGCAGCAGCTTACACTGCCGCTAGCAGAACCAGCAGCAGCATAGGCTGCCCCCAGCAGAACCAGCAGCAGCTTAGGCTGCCCCCAGCACACTAGAAGCAACTTAGGGCGCATTCCTGGCCTCGAGTCTTGCGGTGTTTGGGTCTTCTAAAAATGTGCGATTTGAGATTGGATCCCACAATTTCGAGCACACCAGCACACCAGCATCCGCGTTTTGAGCTTTGGGTTTTGGGATTGCTGTCACAGGATTTATTTTAATGTAATACATCTCTGTTCTGAGCTAGTTAGGTGTGGGAATGTTGTTACTGTAGAAGCAGTTGGGTAACCCTAGGGGGGGACGCGGAGTTGTGGGCGGGGGGAATTGCGGAGCGCCTAGTCGAAGAAGTCGAGGGACCTTGAAGGCTCGGATAATCTGGAAGGCCAATCCATTATCGCGCAACTCTACTCCAGTGGCAGGACATAGAATTGGTAGCGGCTCGGTAAGGGGGAGTCAAATAGTCGGTCAACACACCAGGCTAATTGTTCTCTCGTTTGTTTGCTCGTAATAGTGGATATAGGTTGCCGTTTGACAGCTAACTCCAGCTTAGGCGACTAAGCCACTGTGGGCAGCCATACGTGGGGGAGGCAGAATCTCTCACAAACTAGAGAAAGGAATTGGCAGCATGGACTGCCACCATCTGCGCTGGCAGAGGATATACTCGCGTCGGGATCCGCTCCCGTCGCGGAGGGTGCGCTCGCAGGAGCGGGGAAGGTCACCGGTACGCTCGCCACGGAGTGAGGCATACCGCGCGGATCTGGTGCAGGGACGACGAGGACCTGGCACCAATCTGCACGCGGATCTGGAACCCTGGTCGCATTAGGCCGGAGGAGATCCTTGGAATTTGGCAGGGGGCCAGCAAGGAGCGGGCGAAAGGCGTCGTGATGACGCGGATGGACTGGACTCGCCGGAATCAGTGAGGGAGGCTGACGACGAGGAAGATCTGCACAATAAGGAGGCGGATGAGGAAGATCTGCAGAATCGCCGCGGAAAAGGGCGTGGCGAGCCGGAACGGGGAGCGGAAACCGATCGCGCGTCCGGATGGATCTGCGGAGATGAGCGCGGAAGGGCGACAGACGCAGATCTGTCGGCGGACGAAATGCGCGGAGGCAGCGCAAGGCGCCACGGGAGCGCGGATCCGGCAGATCAGTCGGTGGATGTAACGCGCGGAAATGGTGCGAGGCGCAGCGGGAGCGCGGATGCAGCAGATCAGTCGGCGGACGAAATGCGCGGAGGCAGCGCAAGGCACCGCGGAAGCGCGGATCTGGCAGATCAGTCGGCGGATGTCACGTGCGGGAATGGTGCGAGGCGCAGCGGGAGCGCGGATGCAGCAGATCAGTCGGCGGACGAAATGCGTGGAGGCAGCGGAAGGCGCTGCGGGAGCGCGGATGCAGGTTGTGCGGCAGATGAGATGGGTGGCGGCAGCGTAAGGCGCCGCGGAAGCCCAGATGCAGGTCGCGCGCCAGAGGAGATGCGCGGGAGCAGAGCTAGGCGCCACGAAAACATGGCGGCAGATTGCTCGCCAAAGGAGGGGCGCGAGGAAGGAGCGAGGCGGAGCGAAAGCTTAGGAGCAGATCGCTCAACAGCTGGGTGACGAGAAGATCAGGATCGACGTTACGAACCCATGAGAGAGTATCGCTCGCCCGAGCCAAGGCAAGGCCATGAGAGAAGGAGGCGCATGGCGATGGGCGGATGGCAATCACTGGAGCGGTTGGAAGAGGAAGTGAAAAGGGATTATGAAGAGGAAGAGCGAGTTGAAGAGCATTCAAGTCGTTTGCCAGCGCGGCGTAGGAGGGGAGGAAGGGAGCGAGGCAGTGATGTCGGCAGACGTGCGTCGCTGGGTGCCTCAGGAGAGGAGCCAAGAGCGCACAGAGGGGAGAGGGAGGAATATGAGCATGGGCTGGATCCGGCCCGACAGAGTAAGCAGGAGCGGCGTGAGAAGGAATTGTGCCCTGAAGGAGAGGGGTACAGGGGAAGGCAAGAAGGGCGAAAGGGACCTGGTGTGGAGGTGAAGGAGAAGCAAGACCAGAGTAGACAGAGGAAGGGAGAGGACAAACATCACATGCGACGGGAGGGGATGCAGGGATATGAAGCAAAGCGACACCAGCGGGATGAAGAGGCAGGAAGGAAAGGAGAAACGGGAAGATGGGATCAGGAGCACCGAGGTGGGGAAGAGCGTGGTGATTACGACGAAAAGAGGCAGGTGGCGCTCACCAGAAAGAGAAAGGGAGCGCAGGGAGGGATGCACCGGGGAAGGTGGTCGGCGGTCACTGGATGCCTCGAGGGCAAATGAGAGGGGGAGAGGGGACCCATGGCGATGGGAAAGGGGGGGGGCGAGAGAGCAGATATCATAAGTACTCGCCGGAGAGGAGGGAAAGGCGTTGGGGGGAGCGTGAAGATGCGCGAGGTAGGAGCCCCAGCCCGATGGGTCCGAGGAGGCCTAGGCGTCACGGCGAAGGATCTGCAGGAGCAAGAGTGGCTCAGGAAGGAATAGAGCGAGTGCTGTACGGGACCAGCACGGGCAACAGGGGAGAGAAAGAAAGGAGGAGAGGGGTTATGATGTCAGAGCGAGGAGAGACGGGGAGCTGGGACACAAGGAAGTGGGGCGCGATAGCACAGCCACGAGTGGAGGTGCCAGTGCGCTTCACAGGAAACGAGAAGACCGGCCCAAGTCTGAAGAATTACTTGATGCAGATCAGCAATGTTAAATACCGATGCGACAGAAGCGGGATGGACCCGATCGATTTCTTCCTAAGCCTGCCAAGCACGTTAGGAGGGGAAGCAGAGACTTTGTATCGCATGAAGATTGGTGAATGGCTGAGGAGGGCAGAAGAGAATGATAAGGATCCGACGATGCTGTTCTTGGAGCGGTTGAGGAAGCAATTCCCTGGCCACACGGCAGAGCGCATCAAAGAGTTCCAGGAGTTTAAGTGGAGGAATGAGGAGTCACTCCTGACGTACTATGGGCGACTAATGAACCTGGCGGAGGATGTGGTTTGTACGGGCACCAGCATGTTGGTAAGTAAGTTCTTGAGGGGCCTGGATGCAGGGTTGGGTGGTGGGTTGCGTATGCGAGTGTATGAGTTGGGGGCAGACGCTACACTAGAGGAGGTGTTCGAGCTAGCAGAGAGGGTGGATCTGGCGCAAAGGCGGTACGAGGCGTACCTGCCAAAGGAGTCAGAAAAGAGGCGGCCCATGTGGGCTACGGCGATGATACCTGAGGACGGGGACAGGGAGGAACAACGACAGGAGTGGCCACCAGAGACATGAACGTGCCACAGATGTGGGCAGACAGGGCATCTACGGAGAAACTGCAAGAACTGTGAAGTGTGCGGAAAGCCTGGGCACCGTCGGAGGGACTGCCCGGATACACCAACCCGTGACGAGTGCGGGAACAAGGGACATGAGGCAAAGGAGTGTTATGAGAAAACAGGGCGGGCAGAGAGATCACCAGAGGAAATTAAGGACCAGATTGGAAAGTTACAAGCTCAACTGCAGGCGCTGAGAGGAAGGACAGAGAGGGAGGCGGGGTTGTACGCGGGGGAGGAAGAGGAGCAGGAGGATGAGGAGCAGGAGCCAGGGTACTCCTATGCAGTGCTGCATAGCCATGTAGTCAAGGGGCTGCGCAGTGGGGGCAGGGAGGGACGAAGAGAGCAAGTAAATAAGGTAGGAGCATGGACGTGCATGCAAGTAACATCAGCAACGGAAGAGGACGAGAAAGTAGGGGCATGGGCGGGTAAACTAGTGACAGCAGCAGGAAGGGAAGGGAAGGATGTAAAGGAAGGGCCAAAGGCATGCGAATCAGCAACACCAGAAGCGGAAGAGAAGGACGAGCAGGTGGGGGCAGAAGCATGTGCAGCAGCAGCGGCGGATGTAGAGGAGAAGGACGAGCAGGTGGAGGCAAAAGCGTGTGCAGCAGCAGCGGCGGATGCAGAGGAGAAGGACGAGCAGGTGGGGGCAGAAGCGTGTGCAGCAGCAGCGGCAGATGCAGAGGAGAAGGACGAGCAGGTGGGGGCGTGGGAGTGTGGACCAGTAGTAGCAGAAGCGGAAGGAAAAGACGAGAAGATGCAAGTGCGGGCGTGTGGACCACAGGCAAGAAAGCAGGCGCAGGATAGGAAGATGGCAGAGCAGCAGGTAAGGAAGCTGTGGGAAGCACATCCAGAGCTGCTGCGGGAATTAATGGTCAAAGAAGCCATGAGAAGAACTAAGACGGATGTGGGGAGTACAAAAGCAGAGATGGCGTGCAATGGGGGGCAAAAGGAGCCACGGGGAGGAAGATAGGAAGGGCCAGTGGAGGGCAAGGCCCAGGGGAAGGGGGAATCAGAGAGGGAGAGTAAGGAAGTGGGGGCATGGGAGTGCTTGTCTATGAGGGAAGAAGTAGAGCAGACAGTGGGAGATGCGAGGAGTCAGGAAGGAAGAGAGGCCATGAAGACAGCGAGCTGGAGTAATGGAGGAACATGGGAAGATGAGCCGATGCAGCCAGCAACCCAGAAGCTGACAGAACGAGTGGGAATGGAAGAGGGTGAGAAGTGGGTGGCCAGGAAGGGAGGCAAGGCAGCAGAATACCCGAAGGAAATGGTACCGGCAGCGGTGGAGAACCTAAATATAGTGCAGTTAGGGGATGAGTGCAACTATGAGCAGCGGCAACAGCAGGGTGCTAGAGGGACAAAGGAAGCTGTAGGGGTAAGGCAGACAGAGAAGGACAGAGAAGGGGACACCAGAGACGGAGCGAGGAAGAGTACGGAGGAGGGTGCAAGCGGTGTGAGGTGTGGAAGTGCTGGTGATGGAGAAGGAGAAGGGAGAGCAGACCGAGAACCACCAGACCCACACGGCAGGGGGAAGAGAAGCCGTCCTCAGCTGGGAAGTCCTGTGACTCGAGCCCGAGCAAGTCGAGCACGAGCACAGGAGGGGGCAGGTATTGGCTGAGACAGAAGAGTAGAGACAAGAAGCAGCAACAGAAGGAGGGGGAACTGAATGAGAGGCACCAGTAGGAAGGGAGAGAGGGAAGACGGTAAGGCACAGGTTTCCGACATTGGATCCCACAATTTTGGAAGACCCAAACACTCAAAAGACCCGAGGCTAGGAATGCGCCCTTAGGCTGCTGCCAGCGCACCAGCAGCAGCATAGGCTCCCCCAACAAAACTAGTAGCAGCATAGGTTGCCCCCAACAGAACTAGCAGCAGCATAGGCTGCCCCCAGCGCACCAGCAGCAGCTTAGGCTACCGCCAGTGCACCCCCCGTTTCTAGCTCCTCACATGGCGTGTACTAGAATTCTACAGCAGTAGAGCTAGCCGCAGCACTCCTGGCAGTGGGGCCTTGCGGGTCCAAAGTGTGGCACCCCCATCAGTGGCTCAGCTAGCAGTGGGCGAGACGATGGCCCCTGCGGGTACCGGGCCCTGACAGGCCCTGGTGCTGGGACTACCTGCTAGAGTCCTGGCCACTCTTTGTCCCACTGCTACTGTCGACTCGACGACCTCCACCGTGAGCGTTTTGGTCCTCATGCTACTACACCGCACTAGCGCTCGCATCTTCGCCAGCGCACTGCTGCACCAGTTGAGTCTCACCTACCTGATCTAGGACCTTTCCCGGCTGCACGAGTAGAGACCTGTGTTTCCAGTCTAGGTGCGTGTGTAGTTTCCAGTCTAGGCGCCTCTGAGGGACTTCGTATGGGAGCAGCAGCAACCACTAGTCTAGCACCAGGCTTTGTCGCAGACTCGGATGCGACCCCACAGACTGCACAGCTTGCCTTCACCCTAGACTCTAGAGTGTGCAGCTGTTTCTTTCGCGACTGTACTGACCTCACACCACTACGCACTCCAGTCACTATCGCCTTGGCTGACCCCTCCATGGGACCTGTAGTTGCCCATAGCACCACCACACTCCTGTATCCGGCGGCTCCCTCTGGGTTTCTCACATTTTACTACACCCCCTCGTTCTCCAAGTACCTGGTGGGTGTCAGCCACCTCCAGGACCTATGTGTAGTCACTACTTTCCCACTGGACGAGCCTGTTGCCTCCTACACAGTCGGTGCCACTCGGGCACCTCTGGCCACTTTCCACGGAGAGCCGGGCTCTGGAATATACTCACTACACACTGGTTCCCACCACATTGAGTCAGGTCGGGTCATGTCAGTTCAGGTAGCTGCTGTGTCGTGCGACTCTTGGTTAATCACCCACCCGTCAGTCCTCTGGCACCACCGTCTAGGTCACCTGTCTTTCTAGCGTCTCAGTAGGATAGTACGTCACCGTCTGGTCTCAGGTAACCTAGCGTCACTCGCCCCGCTTCCCCGCTCGCCTGCGCCGCCATGCACTCCTTGCGTCAAGGGTCGGCAGCGCGCTGCCCCTCACTCCTCCTCGTTTCCCCCCATTACCGCTCCCTTACAGACCCTTCACTTGGACGTCTAGGGCCCCTCCTCAGTCCTTGGCCCACGTCAGGAGCGCTACTTCCTGATTGTGGTGGACGACTACTCCCGCTACACCACGGTCTTTACCTTGCGACGGAAGGCCGACGTGCCTACCGTCCTAGAGCCGTGGCTACTAGCGAGGGGTGGTGCCAGGGCCTTTGTGGACTCCGTCTACACTCGGACCGTGGTGGTGAGTTTGCGTCCACTCGCTTGTCGACGTTCTGTGGGGCGCAGGAGATCATCCAGTCCTACACGCTACCAGCCTCACCACAGCAGAACAGGGTAGCTGAGTGACGCATCGGTCTGGTCATGTCGGTTACCCCCAGTTCTTGTGGCCCCAGGCCGTCTCCTACGCCGCGCACTAGCTGAACCTGTGGCCCAGTGATGCACAGCCACGGTTGACGCCTGTCTTTCTTTGGACAGGGTCTTGAGGTGTAGCAGCTGACTACCGAATCTGGGGATCCCTGGCCCACGTTCGTGCCCTTGGCGTGAACAAGTTGTCTGCTCGCACACATCTCTATGTCTTCCTTGGTTTCCCCCTGGATGCCTCTGGCTGGGTATTCTTCAGTTCCCAGGACGTAACTATTGACGAGTCAGTCTGTTACTACAGGAGTCGTCCCCACCAAGGTTCTGAGGCCTTTTCCTCCCTGCTGTTTCTCACCCCAGTGCCCCCCCTAGTCGCCCCGGTAAACACCCCCCCCCTCCCTCTTTTGCGTCCTGCCCTGCCAAGTGTGTCGCACGTCACTCTGCAGTCGTCTTCCCCCTAGAGTCCAATCCCTGTCGTGTCTGGGGTTGCGGAAGGTGCAGGTGTGGAGCGTTAGGGTAATGTGGCTGCTGGAGCTGGTGGTCCCAGCTCTAGGGGTGCAGGGGGTGTGGGCGTGGAGGCCCCTCCTGTCGAGGACACGGTTGCCTCGAGTCGACGCCCTCGCCCAACCTCACCCATTGGCTTACCGTCCGTTCCCGAGTTTCCCCCTTGTTTGTCTCTGCGGTCGGTCGCTGCGGAGCCTGGGGTTACTCTTGCATAAGGTACTGGCGGCACTGAAGGGGTCGCTGATGGAGGTTCTGGTTCTGGGGGTGCTGGCGTCGGAGGAGCAGGAACGTTGGAGCCTACACTACGCGCTGTACGTTTCTAGACCCGTGAGGAGCATCTTCTCCGGCTGGAGAGGGAGGAGAGGGAGCTGTTTGAGAGGTCACGCTAGCAGCAGCAGTAGAAGCAGCAGCAGGAGCAGCAGCAGGAGCAGTCTTAGTTGCAGAATCAGGATAGGGTAGAGGAGGAACCACAGCCATAGCAGAAGGTACAGAGGGGTCGCGCCTGCAGCAGCAGGTGCCGTTGCAGCAGCAGCAGGAGTGAGCAGAGGAGTCACAACTGCAGCCGCAGCATGAGAGAGTTGAGGAGGAGTCACGACAGCAGCAGCAGGTGCAGTTACTGCCACAGCAGGAGAGAGTCGAGCGGGAGTCCCGGCAGCAAGAGCAGGTAGAGCTGCAGTCGCGGTAGGAGAGGCCACAGGAGGAGACACACCCGGTGCCACAGGAGCAGCAGCAGGGGCAGGTGCCGCAGCAGCAGCCGCAAGAGGAGGCGGAGCAGCAGCGACTGAGAGACCTACCCGACCCGACACCTGCACGCTTGGTTCGTGGTCCCTCACCGTCCCCTCCTGTTCCCCGTGATGAGTCCCTTTCCTCGTCCCCGTGGACTCGTCGTTCTCCCCTCAGTCGTGCTGTGTAACCCGAGCCTCGTCGGTCCCATTACCGTGCCGACGGCCCGTTTCACCTTGTTCTCCGCTCTCGTGTTCCACCTTTTTAGGTCCTTCCACAGCCTCCTGAGTCATCCCTCATTGTGTTTCACGACCCGTTCCCCGACTACCTCCGTGCCTCTTGCCCTATCGTCTCCCGTGTTCTGTCAGCGTTGGTCACTCACCCGACCGCCCCTCCACTGTCTATCTCAGCCCTTGTCACTACTGTCAGTGCCTTTGCCTCTTCCCACCGCCTTGACTACGCCGCTCACCTGGTGAGTGGCACTGCTCGTTCTTCGTCCTCTAGAGGTGTTCCTATCTTTCCCCTGGAAGTCCTCGAGGATAGGCGGTTCGAGCTTGGTTTCCTGGCGGCCGCTGTTCCCCATCTCTGCACCATGCTGCTAGCCCCTGAGGGGGATCCATACGCCCTTGACATCCCGATCCCTTGCACCCACGCCGAGGCCGTCTCGGGACCCTGGGCTTCCTACTGGATAGCACTTGAGGAGGCAGAGATGGCATCCTATAGATCCACAGGCACCTACGTCAACGCCGTCCCACCACCTGGCATGAACGTCGTCAGTGGCATGTGGCTCTATAAGGTGAAGCGGTCGACTGGATCACCATCAGTGTTCAAGGCGCGCTATGTAGCGAGACGCTTCAGTCAGCGAGAGGGAGTAGACTTTTTCCAGACCTTCGTTTCCACCCCAAAGATGACCACTCTTCAGGTGTTGCTGCACAACGCAGCTCAGCACGACTACGAGTTACACACTCCTTGGACTTCTCCACAGCGTTCCTTCAAGGGAGCATGCACGAGCAGAACTGGCTGCATCGCCCACCTGGCTTCAGTGGCTCTTTCCCTCCTCGAACCCAGTGGCAGCTGCGTCGACCGGTCTACGGCCTGCGCCAGGCTCCCTGTGAGTGGCACGACACACTTCGCATGACACTTGCAGCGCTTGACTTCTTTCCGTCGTCTGCTGACCCGTCGTTGTTCGTCCACCGTGGCTCGACCACGTTCTTTGTTTTGATTTACGTTGATGACTTGGTCTTCGCCACTCCCGACCGACGCGAAGTGGCTTCCGTGAAGGAGGAACTCCAGAAGAGACACACGTGCCTGACATTGTTGAGTTGCAGCGCTACCTTGGCCTGCA